GCACCCCCAGACTCCGCACGACCAGTACCAGCCCCCGGAAGACAAGAGTCCTCTGCAACCCGCGGCTCAGCTCCAACTCCAGCACCCCCAGAACTAGAGACCTGTACAGGGACAGTCGCAGGACCAACCTCTCGAGAGGGAGCACCTGCAGGAGGCGGCGAGGAAGACTGTGGGGAGGGAGGCTGTACAGGGGGGGCTACCGAAGGGGGAGGGCTAGCCTGAGACACACCAGACGGGGCTGGACCAGGGGGGGGAGGCTGTACCGGGGGAGCAGGCGGGGGAGCGGCGGTCAGGAAGAGAGGGGGGGGAGGGACCGGGAGACCTCGACTGGGGTACCTGACGTAGTAGGGGGTGGACTCCTCGAAACGGACGTCACGGGAGTCAAAGAACCGGTGAGAGGGAGGGTGGTAAAAGGTGAAGTCAGAGGAGTCCTCAGGGAAACCAAGGAAGACACAAGGAACGGCGCGAGGCGAGAGCTTGTCCGCGGAGGTGTCGCGGACAAGAGCCAAGCACCCCCAGACACGAAACCTCGACGCGACACCAGGGGACCCTGTCCAAAGACTGGTCGGTGAAGCCTCCGGCCGAGAGACGCGTGGCCAGAGGTTCAGCTGGTGCGCGGCGTACCTGACCGCGTATGGCCACAGGAAATGGGGGGCACGGGCGTGAGTCAAGGAGGTGCGGGCAATCTCCATGACCAGGCCTATGCGACGCTCAGCAACCCCATTCTGCTGTGGGGACTCCGGAAGCGTCCAGGACTGACGAATGCCCTGTTCGCGACAGAATCCAGCGAGAATGCCGGAGCGAAACTCGCCCCCGCGGTCGGAGTGGAGACAGCTGACACGACGACCACGAGTGTCCTGGGTGGTAAGCAACCACCTGATCAGCGTAGAAGTCACCTCAGACTTCCTCGCCAGGGGGAACACTGTGGTGTAGCGGGAGTAGTCGTCAACGACCACAAAAAAGAAACGCTCACGCTCAGGGCCAGGGCGAGGAGAGGGGCCCCAGACGTCCAAGTGCAGCGTCTCAAAAGGCTCGGTGGCCGGACGAAGGGAGGAGGAGTGAGGGGTGGCGCGCAGCCTACCCTCGACGCAAGGACCGCACGGTGGTGCAAGGGACGGCGGCAGCGACGGCAAGACACGCGGGAGACCTAAGACAAGACGCTGACGAGACATAGCGCGAAGACGAGGAGGAGAAGGGTGCCCCAGCCGGTGGTGCCACAAAACGGTGGGGTGGGCAAGCGACCGACAGGAGCACGACGCAGCGACCGGACTAGACGGAGGAACCTGACAAGACACAGCTACCTGGGGGGACGGAGCAACCTGGTGAGACGCGAGGACTCGAACGGGGGGCAAAACAGGGGCCGGGGGCAGGAGGGGCGGCTGTGGCTGCGGCTGCGGCTGCTGCTGCCGCTGCTGCTGCGGCTGCTGCTGCTGCTGCAGTCGCTGCTGAGGGCGCGGGCCAGTGTGAAGAGTGTAGAGACCGGAGCCCGGCTCAGCAGCAAAAGTGGCGAGGGGCTGGTAAGAGTCCCCGTCAACACACACCGCAGTCTCTCCAGAAGGCTCAAACCACACACCCACGTGCTGACTCACGAGGGGTCGCACGCCCACCAAGTTCCGGGAGAACGAGGGGACGTGAAACCCAGTGAGAGACCCAGAAGGAGCAGCCGGACACGGCAAGGTGGTAGTGTGACGCGCGGTGACTGGTCCCGAAGTGGGATCAGCCAGCGCCACAGAAACAGGCGCAGGAAGAGGCGTAAGTGTCGTGCTGTCACGAAAGAAGCAGTGAGAGGCTCCAGAGTCCAGCGTGAACGACAGCGAACCGTCCTCTGAGGTAGCCGCTGGACTAGAGTCTACACAAGAACCTACACTAGCAACAGGCAACTGAGCAAGGCTAGCACCTAAGCTAACAACACCAGAGTAAGCAGAGTCAGAAACACTAGAGTCAACAACAGCATACATAGCATGGGGAGTACCAATCAGATCAACTAACTGCTCAGCAGACATGGCCCACAGAGCGGAGCCGTAGCGCTGAACAAGAGGCAGCCAGTCAGGGGCAGGAGCACCAACCCCGTAGACCAAACGAACCGTGTCAGTGAGCTGAGCAAAGCACTGACCAGGGGGGTGAAACCGGCCACAAGGGTGGCCACGACGAGTGCCTGTCAGAACCTGGTAGGTGCAGGGAGTGTAAGCAGCACCGCGCTGGGTCTGACGCAGCCCCGACCCTGGAGCCAGCTGCTGCCGCTGCTGCTGCTGAGGCTGCTGGGAGGAGAGGGGCTGCTGGTGCTGCAGAAGCTGCTGCTGACGCTGAGCCTGGTACCACGCCGCTGCTCCGCCAACCGGGGCAGGAAGTACAGGAGGCGACTGACGAACTCGGGCGTCGCCACCACCAGCAGGCGCAGTGGAGTCACCAGTCACTGCACGAGGCGCCTCTCCAGGCCCTGAACCTCCACCGCCGCCAGGCGCAACGCCACCTCCACTACCTCCGCCTCCACCTCCACTACCACCACCAGAACCGCCTTTCTTGCCACTCCTACCGCGGGACCGCGACGCAGTCGTAACAGCAGCTGCAGTCGCGTCAGTAGCGGCAGTGGCAAGTGAGGCAGTAAAGGTGGGTAACTGCGGGACTGTGCACCCGTGGAAGAGTGGGGGGGGCACAGCACCAGAGGCAGCGGCTACCGAGCGAAGGTTGCTCTCGACGTCCTTGAGTGCAGACTCAAGGACCTCGACGGTGAGCTCACTAGGGTGCTTCAGCAGAAGCGCGTCGCGAACGGAGGCAAGGCGGTCAGGGAGGCTAGTGGCGATGAAATAGATAGTAATCGCCATAGGGGGAGGAAGCAGTGCAAGCTGTGCCTCAGTGCAAGCAGCGCGGTAACTAGCGTCGAGCGAGCGGAGGTGAGCGATCAAGTCAGCAGAGCGCTCAAAAGACGCTAGGTCAGGAAACAGGAACGGGAGGAACAGGCGGCCAAGAGAGACAGCAGCGGGAGTAGAGTAGCGGGCCTTAATCGCAGTGAGGTACGCAGCAGCGGTGCGAACCTGAGTGAAGTGAACCTCCTCAGACTCAGGGAGGAGGCTGCTGAGCGCGATGCAGGCCGCAGCGTCACGTGACGTCCAAGCCGTCTGGTCAGCTCGCTGAGTGGCAAAGCGGGCTCTAGCGGCGTCGTCAGGGGCAGGTCCTAAAGGCGTAGGGTCGGGGGGCGCAGGTAGGGCACCAGTAGCGTGCGCCCAGAGGGACTCGCCTGCCTGGACCTGACTCTCTAACAGACGGCGAGCACGAAGAAGCCAGACGGAAAAATCAAGAGGTCTACCGTCAGCGTCGAAACGAAGGACACGCTGAGTCGCCATAGCGAAAACGAACGCGAACGGAGAGGGAGGGGACAGCAGTAGATGAGAGGCAAATTAGGGTTCGGCGGTACTCTGGGACAGGGGAGGAGCGGACGCCACAGCGGGCGTGACAGCGGGAGGTAACAGGGGACTAAGCAGCGGAGAACGAGAGCGGGCGCAGCGGCGGGCGATGGCAGCGCGTACGGCAGCAGGGGCCAGCAGCGCGCGCAGCGGGCGACGGCAGGGGGCGCAGCGGCGACGCGCGCAGCGGCGGGCGACGACGGCGGGGCCGCAGCGAGGCGCGCAGGGGGCGAGCGACGGCTGCAGGCGCGGCGGCGACGAGCGCGGTCGCGAGCGACAGTGGCGGGCGCTGCGGGACGGGCGACTCGACGGGGGGAGAGGGCAGGAGCGACGGGACAGGGGGAGGGCGACGTGACGGGGGGGAAAGGGGCGGGTGCGACGGGACAGGGGGAAGGCGACGTGACGGGGGGAAAGGGGCGGGTGCGACGGGACAGGGGGAGGGCGACGTGACGGGGGGAAAGGGGCGGGTGCGACGGGACAGGGGGAAGGCGACGTGACGGGGGGAAAGGGGCGGGTGCGACGGGACAGGGGGAAGGCGACACGACGGGGGGAAAGGGGGGGGGCGCGACGAGACAGGGGGAAGGCGACACGACGGGGGGAAGGCGCGGACGCGACGCGACGGGGGGAGCGCGACGCGACAGGGGGAAAGGGACGGGCGCGACTCGAGGGGGGGGGGAAGGCGACGCGAAGGGGGGGGGGGGGCGGGCTACACTACGAACGAGAGCGTGGCTCGGCGCTAGGCTCGGTAACAACGAGAAGGAGACGAACGAGAGCTAGGATCAGGCTCGGGTGGTACGAACGGAGAACGGCGGAACGGGATCCCACAGGATCCTAACCTAACTGATACCATGTCAGAATGAAGAATGGATGATGCATTGATGTTGGTTGGGGTACATATAGCTAACCCTAAGTTTTGTACCCCCTAAGACAAACCTCACTATAGGCTACAACATTTGACACAATTCTATAGTGAGACCCCCTTCTTTCTCGACATTCCACTCTCTCGCCACTCTCCTAGGTTCCTAACCTAGCCTAGCTTCTTGACACTTGTGGCTCTTTTGCTTGTGCTCGGACCGTGCGATGGCGTTGTGATCCACCCTGAGCTTTGTTTCTTTGTGACTGGTCTTGTGACCGTACGATTTTTGGTTTTGCTTGACACCCCTCACTTAGGCTATGGGGGTGTGTCAAATGTTGTAGCCTTTAGTGATGCGTGTCATATGGGGTACAGCAGTAGGCGTTAGGTTTATGTACCCCAACCCTCAATAGTCAATCATTACCGGTATTCAGTTTCTGGTAAATACACCCCAATTAATGACACCCATCTAAATTAGACGCTGTCTTCTATCCGAGCACTGACGAGAATATACCCCAATAATGCCCCTCCTGCACAACATGCTCGGAAGAATCACCAACCAGCTAGCCATCCCAGCCACCTCCGGAACCCCTGAACAACACCCATGGGAGCATGTGGCAACACCCTACCCCACCCCGCCCCCCCCCTTTTCACCCGCCCTTCTCCCACCACTCTCCACTCTATAGTTGGATAGGGAAGCCAGGCGCTTGCGTGCTAGGCGTGGATAGAGAGGCGAGGGAGGGCTACTACCCCTTGGAGGGCGCGGCCATGTTCTGGTAGACGCGCAGGTCGCCTGTGAAGCTGCCCGCCACGATCACCAGCCCCAGTGCCGATGCCCTCTCCGCAGCGCCCTCGCCCCACTGCCACCCCCCTCCCTCGCCCCCTCCTCCCCCCGCCCCTCCTCCTGCCCCTCCCCCTGTGGCTGCGGCTCTGGCCTTGGGTGGTGTGGGAGCGGCAGCTGGTGCGGCGCCGGCCACCTGCTCTTTCCGCCTCCATGCTGCTGCCGCCGCTCCACCCACTGCTTCTGCGCCTGCTCCACCCTGCCTTGGCCCCTCTGTGCCCGCCACTGCTGCTGCCGCTGCCTCCAGCCCGTCGGCTGCACTGCTGCCACCGCCCGCCAGCTCATCACTTGCCGCCCAGGAGGGCGAGAAAAGACGAAGAGGGCTTCTTGACGCCCCAGGGGCAGCAGAGTGCAGCGGAGGCTTGCTCGCGCCTGCTGCTGCTGCTGCCCCCGGGCCTGCAGCGCCCCCATCTGCTGCCGCACTCCAGCCTCCGTCCTGCACTGCCTGCCCCGACCCATCGCCACGCGCACCGCCTGCAGTGCCGTCAGCCATGGTGGCCACAGCAGCCTCAAAGCGCTCCCTCACTGCCCTGCCCGCCTCGCCCGACCCCCCCACGTCCGTGGACGTGCTGTGCTGCACCCCGCTGCCACCCACGCTGGCACTCGTGGCGGGGCGGCTGGGATCGCTGTCCCCATGGCTGCCACGGCTGCTCTGCTCCCAGTCCCCACCCGCCAATGACGGCGAGGGAGAAGGCACCGCTGCTGCTGCTGTGAGGGCAGCCCCACCCCCATAGAACAGCCCCACCGTGCTACTGCCAGTGCTGCCACCAGCAGCAGGCGGTGCAGCAGTGGCAGGGGAAGGGGCAGAGGTGGTGGCACCAGTGGCAGGGGAAGGGGCAGCAGGGCGTGCGGGCAGGGTGGCAGCGGGAGAGGCGGAGCTGGCCCCTCTGGGAATGACGCGTGGCTGCTCGGGCACAGAGGTGCTGGCAGCACCCGAGGGCAGCAGCGGCGACTGGCCCACGCGACTGCTCTCCACCCCCAGCGGCCACACTGCCACGGCACTGCTCACGCTCGGGCACGCAAAATACTCGTACGCCTTCTGCCGGTCATTGGGCTGCCCGGTTTTGGCAAGGAGCCCCGGCGGGTTGTAGAGGAAGATGGTGCCGTCCTCGCTGGGCGTCACGATGAAGTCGCCGCCCACACTGACAGCGGCGGCGAGGTGCGAGGCGGTGTTCTTGTGGCCCTGCAGCTTGCACTTGAGCTGCGCGCCCTCGAACAGCTGCAGGCGCGAGTCGGCCGCCGACACGAGCACGTGGCAGGCCGACCCCGGCACCGCGTGGATGCCCGTTACCTTCCTCGGCGGCTGCTTCTTGGCCTTGCCCCCCCGCAGATCCACCGACTCCTCCAGACTCAGCTCTCCGTCAGCTGCCCGGCATACCATGCATGGGGTGGGTCAAACAGGGGTCAAACAGCGGTGACAGGGGTCAAAGTGGTGACAGGGGTCCACGGGGTGAAAGAGTAGAAACGAGTCAAGGAAGTGAGCAGAGCAGGGTTACAGAGGTGCACAGGTGGCTTGGGTTGTGGCAAGGAGTGTGAGACAATGAAGATGCCCCAACACTGTGCTCTTGTGTGTTGTATCACATGTGCTTTGCACGGTCTTGTTACCTGAAATGGAGTAGAAGCGGCAGTTGCCGATGGCTGTCCCCACGGCGATGCCCTGTGAGAGAGCACAGCACCACACAGAGGCCACACACAACAACACACGAGGGGAGAGAATGGTTGGAGCACCACATTCAAACGTTGACACAAACGAGAGCTTCCATACGACAGCTTTGGCAGCACTCCCTCGCACATGCCAGCATGATTGCGCGACTAAATGCCCAGAGAAAGAAAGCTCCTGAGGTGAGGCGAGCAGGACACAGCCCGCAGCAGGCACTTGAGCACTGTGCCTCCACCTTCTCACGCACCTCCCTTAGCACACGTGGCACGTGGCAGCGGCAGCGCGCTTTGAAACTATATTATATAGTTTGGTTAGTTCTAGTCTAGGTGTTATGCATTGTGTTACATCTGTCATAGCACAAGAGCTAGGATTTGCAATATTTTTCTTGTTCCTCGTTTCGTTATGCATTCTTTCTCAACTCTAGTAAGTTACCACGTCAACATGGCATCAAAGCTAGAAATCGATCCGATGGACCCACTGGGCGCTACGGGCTACGAGGTGAAGGGGCGCTACACGCTAGGGCGCTTCGGGCTAGGGCGGGATACTGGTCGGTGGGCCCATCGGATCGATTCCTAGCTTTGATACTATGTTGACGTGGTAACTTTCTAGGGTTGAGAAAGAACGAGTAAGGAAACAACAAAACAAAGCAAGATACAACACAATGCATAACACCTAGACTGGAACTGGCCAAACTAAAAATAGTTTGACACACGCACCTGAGCATGAGGGGTGAAGGCGCACCTGGGCATGGGGGGTGAAGGCGCACCTCAGCATGAGGGGTGAAGGCGCACCTCAGCATGAGGGGTGAAGGCGCACCTGGGCATGGGGGGTGAAGGCGCACCTGGGCATGGGGGGTGAAGGTGCACCTCAGCATGAGGGGTGAAGGCGCACCTGGGCATGGGGGGTGAAGGCGCACTTGGGCATGGGGGGTGAAGGCGCACCTGGGCATGGGGGGTGAAGGCGCACCTGGGCATGGGGGGTGAAGGCGCACCTCAGCATGAGGGGTGAAGGCGCACCTGGGCATGGGGGGTGAAGGCGCACCTCAGCATGGGGGGTGAAGGCGCACCTGGGCATGGGGGGTGAAGGTGCACCTGGGCATGGGGGGTGAAGGCGCACCTGTCCGTCGGGCATGAAGGCAGCGGCGGTGACCATCTCACCGACGTCCACCCAGTCCAGCACGGCGCCCTGCGCTGCCGCCCACACGCGCACCCTCTCGTCCAGCGCCCCCGACAGAAACACACCCACCTGCCGCGGGTGCCACGCCACCGCCGTCACTGCAGTGCACCCAGGGGGTAGGTGGGCCGCACGGTGGCACACAATGATGGCCCCCACTGCCCTGGCTGGGAGCTACAATGGCATGCATGACAACTTCGCGTACCTTCAGGTTGGCATTTTCTTCTTCTCGTACATACACGTGAAGTTGCATGAGCATGGAAATCAAAACAAGAAAGGCAGATGTGACGGAACTTGCAAAATGACCATATTCAGTTGCACAGAAAGCGATCCCGTAAATGCCGGCAACGCCGTGCAATATGTGCAGCTTGGTAGTGCAGTGCACTTGCCTATGTCGGGTGCACTTGCCTATGACGGGTGCACTTGCCTATGTCGGGTGCACTTGCCTATGTCGGGTGCACTTGCCTATGTCGGGGTGGGGGAAGACGCGCAGGCAGTGCGAGGAGCCGACATGCCAGAGGCGCACCATCCTGTCCGCTGAGGCCGACACCAGCAGCGTGCGCTGCATTGGGAGGGGGGAGGGGCACGCGTGCGAAGCATGGGGATGGGGTGTCTTGCACGCACATGCACGCGTGCATGCATGTCGACAGTGGGTCTGGCGCACCACCAAGGCAGGTGTTGATGAGGGGCATGCGGAGGGGCATGGGGAGGGGCATGGGGAGGGGCGGCATGATGGGCGGCATGACGGGTGGCAGGAGGAGCGGCGTACCCCATTGGGCGTCCAGGCGAGGTCGAGCACGTCAGCGGAGTGGCCGGTGAAGCAGCACAGCGCCGCCTCCTGCAGGCGGAACAGCGGCACCGCCCGCCCCATGCTCGCCCCCCCTCCCCTCCCCCGCTGCTGCGTGGCGCTGCCTCAGAAGGGGCAAGGGGGGCGGCAGAGGAGGGGCGCAGCAGCGGATGCATGGGGGAGGAGGGCACGGAGCGGAAGCCAGACGCCAGCGACGCCGCGTGGGGCAGGGCAGGCGGGACAATCTCCTCCGATGCAAACGCTGGCGTCCCATCCGACCGCTCCCGTGGGTATCCCTTGGCGCGCACGTGCGCCTCGTCCCACCCCTTGCCATCCACTCCTCCACTGCCCCCTCCCCCGCCCAGCCTCCCCCCCCGCCGCTCCCACGCGCCCACCACCTCGTCCGCTGCACCAGTGCCGTGGCCTGCCCCCTCCACCCGCCACACGCGCACGGCGCCGTCCTGCCCGCCCGTGGCCAGGTAGCGCCCGCACCCGCTGAAGCGCGCCACCCACACGGCGCCCTCATGCGCGCCGCGCACCTCCTGCCGCAGCCACAGGTCGGACAGCTGGCGGGTGGGCTTCCTCACGGCCGACACCTTCACCCTCACCGGCCCCACCGCAGGGCCGCCCCACGCCCCACCCGCTCCACCTGCTGCCGCCGCTACTGTTGCTGACTTCGCCATGCCTGGCCCCGAGCCTGCCAGTCCGGATGAGCCTCCCAGTGGTCCGGCAGGCGGCTGGTCTGAGCGCTCCCCTGGCGGCACTGATGGCTCGCCCGGCCTCTCCCCTTCCCCCGCCCACCCACCCCCATCCCCAGTGCCCTCTCCCACCACCGCCCCCCCTGCAGCCCCTGTACCGCCCTCTTTGCCCTCCCGTTGGCCCCCCTTATTCATGCCGCCATCCTTCCCCTTCCCGCTTCCTCTCTCCTTGCCACTGGCGCCGCTACTGCTGCCGCTGCCGCTGCCACTGCCGTACCCGGCAGCACGGCGAATGGCCTTGAGCCACCCGCGCCCGCGGCTCGACTTGGGCCGGCCCTGCACGCCCTCGTCCCCCGCATCCTCCACACTGCCCTGCTCCACCTTGCTGCCCTCTCCGCCCTCCTCCCCCCCGTCCCTCCCCTCCTCACTCTCCCCCACCCCTGCGCCGGCCTTGCTCTTCCCCCCCTTGCGCCCCCACCGGGACTTCCTCCCACTCTCCTCTGGCGACCCACTCTTGTCGCCACTCTGCCCCTCCCGCTCCGGCTCGTTACCCTCTTTCTCCCCACTTTCTGCTGAAACCCCCTCCTGCTCTTCGTCTCCTTCCTCTTCCTCCTCATCCTCCTCCTCCTCCTGGTCTTCCTCATCCCCCTCCCCCCCCTCCTCAATATCACCGATCACCTCACAGCGTGCCACATCGCCCTCCTCCTCGTCATCCGTCAGCCCAAGAGTGTCCCGCCGAGCACTCACAAACCGCACCCCTTCACGGTACTCCGCGTCCGACCCTTCCTCACCACTCTCAACCGCACCCACCTCTCCTCCATCCCTGCTCTTCTCCTCCTTCCCTTCCTCCGTGCCTGCCTTCCCTCGCCCCTCGCCGCCCTCCAGCTCACCACCCACGCCGCCTCTGCTCCGCGCGCCGCCGCTCGCAGCGCCACTGCCTTGGCCGGCCACGGCGCCCTCTGCTGGCCGCTGCTCGCCCTCGCCTGCGCCCGCCGTGCCTGCGGCACCAGCAGCAGCGCCTGTGGGTGCGGGTGGGGTCTTCTTCTTGCGCCGCCGCTCCACCACGCGCTGCTCCCTCACCGCCTGCCTCACGGCCCTCAGAGCCAGCAGCGCCGCCACGTTCTCCCCCTCCGCCACGCCCTCAATCCCCGCCGCGCTCACACTCCCCCCGCCGCTCGACGCCCCCGCCTGCCCTCGCCCCCGCATCACCTTCCCCCCAAAGCCCCACCGCACGCCCTCCTCGCCCATTGCTCCGCCGGCGCCGTGCTCGCCCCCCCAGAGCAGCAGCGCTGGGCGGTCCACGAGGAACTCGTGGCCCGAGGCGGTGTCGCGCACGCGGATGGCACACGCCACCTCCACCCGCCGCTCCTGCTCGTCCCCCGCGCCCTCCCCGCCCACCCGAATGAACCCCACCACGCCCCACCCCACCTCTGCCCCCGCCGCCGCGCCCCCTCCCCCTGCGCCGGCAGCGCCCTCGCTTTGCCCCAAAGTCACCTCCAGCCCGTCCAGCCCGGCTTTCCTCCGCGCCGCCGCCGCTCGCTGCGCCGCCGCTGCTGCTGCCAGCGCCACTGCCTCCGCCTGCGCTGCTGCGGCCTCACGCGCCCACTCCCTCTCCCTCTGCTCGCGCTGCTGCACCAGCCCCACGCCCCCCAGCAGCACGCCCCACGACCCCGCCCCCTCCCCCTCTCTGCCCCCGCCCCTCGATACAGTCACATCCTCCACCGCCTCCGCCACGTCAGCCAGCCCCCCCACGCCCCTGCTGCGCGCGCCCTCCTCGCCGCCCCCTGGGCTGCCCGGCCCCGCTGGCCCGTCCGCCCCCACCACTGCGCCGGCACGGCGGCGCAGGCGGGCAGAGCGAGGGGTGACGGACCTGACGCGCGGCGACACAGTGCGAGGCAGCTGCACCTGCATGCCCACCGCCACCCTCATGCCCCTCCCCGCCCCCCCTCCGCCCTGCACCTCCCCCTGCGCCCCTCCCTGCGCACCCGCCTGCTGCCACTGCTGGAATGCCGGCCTTCCGCCCCTTGCTGCTGCCTGCCCTCCATCCACCTCGTTTGGAGCATCCTCGTTATTTTGCGCTGAAAGTCCTCCTGCAGCGCCAGCAGCAGCAGCAGTGGGCGTGAGCTCAGTTGCGCCGTCCACCGCCTCTCTCCCATCGCCCCGCCCCTCGTCTGTCTCCTCCGCCTCCGCCCTCCCCCCGCCCTCCGCCATCCACTCCGGCGCCACGCGCGCGCCTCCCCCCCCCCCACGAGCCGCGCGACGGTGCGCGCGAATTGCAGCAGCCCGGGCGGCACGCCGCGCGCGCCTGCTGCTGTGAATGGCGCAGCCGCGCCGCCCGCAACGGCGTGAGTAGCGGGGTGGGCGGGGAGAGGGGAGGGAGGCACGGCGCTGCTGGCCCCGTGCGCTGCCCCCGCGACTGCTGCTGCCCCGCCAGCACTCGCTTGTGCGTCCGCCTCTGCTCGGCGCTCCACCTCCTGCGCCTGCCGCACAACGACACTCAGAGTTACAAGGCACAACATGCACAATGCTTGGGACGGGCGAGTAGGAAGAGCGCGTGGCGAAACGACAAGCCAACCATCTGACCTGCTCGGACCCCCCGACCCCCTGTCACCGCGCATGCACCCGCGCGTTAGTCACCTTCTCGCACGCCACGCGCAGCTGGTGCCACATGCGCGCGCGCCGCTCCGCCACGGTATTAATCTCGAGCGGCTCGGTCCAGGGGTTGGGGTGGGCGCCGTCGTCCGCCGCCACGAGCTCGAGCACGGGCAGCGCCAGCTGCGCCGCCGGGGGCAGCGCGGACACCGGGTGCGCGCCGTCGTCGTCGGGGTCGAGCGCGTACGCGGGCTGCGCCAGGAGCACCGGCGCGGCGGACTCGGTGAACGCCACGGGACCCATCGGCGCGCACTTTTTGCTTGGGAATGGCCAATAATCGTAAACGGCGCAGCCGCGTGGGAAACGGTTGAATGTCAAAACAAACGTGCGCATTTCACAAGGAGGGAAATTGGAACTCGAGATTTGTGGGCCTTGTTCGGTAGCCCTCGGGTACGGGCATGGGCACGGGAACGGGAACGGAAGGGAGTGGCGGGAAACCAGGCTCGGGAGGGGGAAATGGGAAAATACGTCAATGGTAACTTTGTATGTTATGAATGAACTTGTCAGAGTGCGCAGATATCGAATAACGAGAATGAGAATTACAGAATGATTGCACAATGAAGTAGTGAGGCCTAAATAGGGGAAAACCTAGCTAGGCGGGGATGGTGTGGTAGGGTTGGCTCGCGAAGTGTCGCGATTGGTGCGGAGGCGGCTCGGTGAGGTTGGGATGCGAAAATGTAGGCCGAACCAGAGGCCCTCGGGATGGCCTCGCTATCGAGCGCCTCAGTAAATATTTGTAAATCCTTACACTCTCCCACCTCCTAAATAAGGCAGCCCTGTACCGAAAAGAGTCACACAGTAGCGAGAATGCCGTTGATCGAGCAGATGTTGATCACGCAGTCAGAGCCCGCGTTGGCCGCTGATGATTTCAAATGTCGATCTGACGGTTGACGACTGCCCCGAAAAGGGAGGGAACCTGCTGATGCGAATTCAAACACAATTGAGCCGGAACCGTAGATCTTGTCGGTGTGATCGCGATCGTTCGTCGTGCTGACGCAACCTGACAAAGTCAGAAAGGACCGAGAAACGCCGATGAAAGAACAGTGCGAGGCACTTTCTCCCCCCCTCCAAGAAATTACACCAGAAAATGCTCACTGCTGCGCCGAGAGGAAAAACCTACAAAAGTCCAGGTGTTAAGTCCCACGAAGAAAGCCGTTGATGGAAGGAACCCAAGTGAAAATGCGTCGGTGTGGAAATGTCGATGTCGAAACCAGGAATTACGTGCCCAAAAGTCGTCAAGGGCGAACCAGCGAAAGTAGACCAGAAACCGAAACCGAAATTGCCGAGTACTCGAACTGAAGCTTTTTGTCTTCACATCGCCAGAATCATGCAGCATCCGCAGCAGTTGCAGCTGGCAGCACCTGACGTGGCTGAAATTAAATATGTTTGTCGTGGGCGGGTCGATGGCGAGTTGTTGGAAGCAGAGTTGGGATGGATTCTCCAAGAATTTTGTCGTAATCCGCCGAGAGTTCGTGGGCAGGGATGAAAATTTGCAGCTGTCTCTCCCCCCCCGTCACTGTTGCCGCCGCCTTCTCCAGTTCGTCGTAAGTCGTTCGTACCCCTTGAAAAGTCCGTGTAGTTCCCGCGCCGTTGCCCTGCGTAAATTTCGCGCGCGTGTAACCAAACTTCGAAAGTACTGCCACAAAATTGCCGCGCTTTCGCCGTAAAACCGTGAAGTCCTTCGTCAAACTCCGAAATCGTCGCTCGAGAAGTAGCCCCGTAAATCCACAGGTCTAGGTGCAGTTCTCCTCCGAAAATCTCAGACGTGCTATAGCCGCCCACCCGGTCACCATCAGTTTCCTTCGGTTACCCGACCCCAGCATGTGGGTTAAATCGAGAACCGGGGACTGCCCTGGGTCTTCCGAGACCGAATTTCACGGAACCTAGAGGCATCAACGCCGTTGACCCCGTCGTCGAAACTGCTCCCGTCGATGTCGCTTAACTGAAAACCACGCAAACTCCCACTGGCGCTTTGCGATGTTTCACCTCATCGCGCGTCACCGGCAGGTAAATCCCGAAGCCTCGGCTGCTCCCACGCTCCCTGAAGAATTTCCCGCGGTGTACGTTTAAACACCCGTGGGTCCTAGGTATCAACCGCACTCCAAGAAACGAAGAAAACACCCTCAGCTTCAACTCCTTTTTGTTTTTTGTTTTTTTTTTTTTTTCGTAAGAAGATAACCCCGAAAATCGTGGTTGAGGCTGCAGTCCCGAAGTTATTCTCCGCCGTATAGCCCCGACGTTTCCGCCGTTTTTTCCCTGGTACTCCGATGTTCACCCATCTTCGTACCCGCCGGAACTACTTAGCGAATCCCAGGTATCCTTGGCAATGTACCGCTCGCCGCGCCTCCATGTAACGATATCAAACCCTTTCGGGGGTCTACCGAATAGACTCCGAAATTCGCGGTAGATTGGTGCACGGGCTCAACCTATCACTCAAGTGATCTGCTGGATCACCCACAACTTTCCCTTCCGTCATCAATTTTTTCGTATTCACCCCCCGACAATTCCGCTTCCCGCCGTTCACCCAGCGTCCGCTTTTGTCGGATGGGGTATCGTCGTTGTTGCCCGTGCAAACTCGGCCACGGTGTAGAAGCAAAAACTATCGGAGTCGGGGCAGCCTTAGTTAAAAGGAAACTGTCGCCCAACCGTTTTGCAGCCCGCCGTGCCTATCACGTCACGTAAAATCCACAGCTTCCCGGTCTCAGCTTCGCCGCTGCGCCGTCGATTCGTGTAGACGCCCGGGTCAGGAGAAACCTGTAGACTGCACCATTTCTTCTTCGCAGCTCCCCGACTTTTTCGCGTGCCGTTCACCCAGCCCGCTTTTGTCGGAGTAGAACAGTGCCGCGAGCTCCACTTTTTTATTTTTTTATTTTTTCTGTACAGCTGTCGAACGGGCACCAAATCCGGTACCTTTAACCAGCGCAGGGTAGGCCACGTGTTCACCCCCGTTATTCGGCCAAGTAGGTTGACTGCATGAGTCAGAACCAGGACTTGGTGGGGATGGTGAGGTTCGGGCGAAGTAGGGCCGCAGATCGATTCCACCGGCTTTTAATCTGCCCCCGCAACGTTCTTCAACCCCCGCTTAGCCGTTGGGCCGTTTCTTCTCGCGTGTCCCGGCAGCCTGTACCGACCCCTCCGAAATTATCGGGCGGTACCTTGGACACCGTTTAACCGTGGGTTGTCAGCAGCTGTCCCCGAAAACAACATCCTTGGTCAGGGGAAACTGTTCTCGATACTGCCGGCCAGCTTGCAACAACACCAGGCACGCAGCGTCGCACGAGTTCTTTCGAGGTGTACCTGCCCCGATTTCCCTCGTCGCCTGCGTCCCACTCCTCGTAAGTGCGGTTTAGCCATCGCGTTTTCCGTTGCAGCCCGTAAGCGTCAGCAGGTATGAAGTCCCGTCTGTCCACGAGCACTCCTGCCGAATTTGTTGATGACGCGCCCGCCAATGCAGTAAAAGCTGCCGCACTTAACAGGTCGGGCGGGACGGCAGTTAACTCCCGCGAAGTCGGGCAGTCTTGTGTCGTCTCTCCTCGCCACCGACATTTTCGGACGCAAACTCCTTTTGCGCCTGGCGAGTTCCCCAGCCGACGTTTTCTTCAACAGAAGCTGCCTGCTGCCACAGTGACGCACGTTCCTTGTCGCCAGCTGCCGAGCCACACTCCGTGAGTCGCGCGCGCATGATGACGACGAGCCACCGTTGTCACTTGCCGCATGGGACGGACTCCGAAGTTGTCGCGCAGTTGTTGAATTGGGTCCGACGGCGTCAACTGCCACACATCGTGACGACTTCCGAAATCTTCGTGCAGGTGCCGACGCAGATCCGCTGACGCCAGCTGCCTCACAGTTTCGAAATCGTCGTTAAAACCGCAGCGGAAATAGTAACTCACGTTCGATGTCGCGACAGCTCCAGCTGTCCGTTGCCCGGGGGGAGGGAGGTCACGGTCGATCGCGACCGTTCGAGCTAAGGATCTGGCGGTGCCGAAGGAGTGCCCCGTAAAACCATGGCCGCGAAGAGCAACTAACTAGTTCTCTTGGCCGGCCTACGCAACTCCTGGACCCCAAGGCATCCTTACTCGTCCCCCCCCCCCCCGAGGGGTAATACACTCTAAAAAGCGGGGTAGGCTAGGAAAGTAGCTCTGATACCAGGTGTTATGAATGAACTTGTCAGAGTGCGCAGATATCGAATAACGAGAATGAGAATTACAGAATGATTGCACAATGAAGTAGCGAGGCCTAAATAGGGGAAAACCTAGCTAGGCGGGGATGGTGTGGTAGGGTTGGCTCGCGAAGTGTCGCGATTGGTGCGGAGGCGGCTCGGTGAGGTTGGGATGCGAAAATGTAGGCCGAACCAGAGGCTCGCGTAACCCTCGGGATGGCCTCGCTATCGAGCGCCTCAGTAAGGATTTGTAAATCCTTACATTGTCAGAGTGCGCAAATATCTAATAACGAGAATGAACTGATTACAGAATGACTGAACAATGAAGTAGCGAGGCCTAAATAGGGGAAAACCTAGCTAGGCGGGGGGTTCGGGATGGGATGGCTCGGTGATGGTTGCGATTGGTGCGGAGCCGACTCGGGAGTGGTTCGGTGATACGAATTAGGCCGAACAGGTTCGTCGCGACACCTACGGGGTGTACTCGCTAAAGTGCGAGTACAGTAAGGAATTTTAATCCCTTACAGGGCACTACCGTATGGCCCCGGATAAAAGCGCATACGCGCTTCTAATAAATATTGATTTTTTAGGGGTGGCGCTTGTAATTGAGTAACGGCCATTTGCGCCGGTGCTAATGTAATGACAAAATTGAATTTAGTTTTTAAGAGTACCAAACTGAAGCCCACAATAAGGCGAACACAACTGTGTACATTGCGCATGCGTTCGTGCATGGAAATCCCGCGAAAACAGAGGCGCTTCGGTTTCCCACCCCTCGAATCTTGTCCCAGAGCAACGCACCTGCCAGCGGTGACGTGCATCCTGCCGTGCGGCCCAATAGGAGAGTCATGCGCTGCCAGGCTGCAACAAACCACCCGAACCCTCTAGAAGGGGGTGGAATATGCTGCCAGCGCGGCAAGAATGAGCCACGATACCCTCCTCTCCGGGTTTAGGCAGGGTGGCAGTCGGCTTTCCTCGACGAGGACCTCACACCGCAAACCTGAAGGGGTCCCCTCCAATTGCTCATTTGGGCACTCGTTTCATTCACGTGAAGGCATTCTGTTTCTTGTTTCCTCCCGCCTGGCTGCGC